AGAAGCACTGCTGTAATATGTATTTTACAAGGCTAGCAGTTTTTGGGAAGGAAAGATCTGAATTGTCACTTGATTCCACCTTGTTCTTAGTGAAGTCAAGATCCCTCCACACCATTACTTGGACAAAGGCCAAAATGATATTTACACTTGTAATTTTGTTGAAGTGAAGATGCCATTGAGTTTTAGACTTTATTTTTTTGTGTGAGGAAGATCAGCCCTGAGCTAACATCCACGCCAATCCTCCTCTTTTTGCCGAGGAAGGTTGGCCCAGAGCTAACATCTCTGCCCATCTTCCTCCACTTTATGTCAGACCGCCACAGCATGGCCTGACAAGTGGTGCATCTGTGCACTCCCGGGATCCGAACCCGGGCCGCCGGCAGCTGAGTACACGTGCTTAACCGCTATGCCATGGGGCCAGCCCCCGAGTTTTAGGCTTTAAAGAGTACACTGCTGCCGGATTATATAGGTTTGTTTCTGGCAAATTCAGTTTCTTAAGTATTTTCATAAGCTTTTCATTCTTTATAATGGGATGGAGAGATGAAATTAAAACATATTTTGAAGGAAAAATAGATAAGACATTGATTTGACATAGGGTTGAAGAAAAGGAGAGAATCAAATATGACTAAGTTTTGAATTACTGTTATCTTGGAGAATTGAGAGGAGCGGTGGTTTCAGAAGAATACCATAGAGCTGTTGTATATTAGTTATATGGACTGTGTTTAGGTTATAGTTGAAACCATTAGTTATGATAATATCTTAAATATGAAGTTTAACTCTTCAGTCAACAAATATATAGTGAAAATAACAAAGGATCATATGAACAAAAGAGCTTTGATATGTTACTGAAGTTAGAAGAGATAGTAATAAGCAAATTAACTGGAAAAGATCACAGAGAAAATTTGGTAGAATAGTAAGTAAAATGTCACAAAAGCAAAGGAGGAGGGAAGAGTTTCGTAAAAGGAGAGGTAATCAGAATGTAGGGCTCCCCACAGTGTGAGGTCTTCAGTTGAAGTCCATTATGGTCAGAGAACAGTTTCTATGTGGTTTCAATTCTTGGAAATTTGAGGCTTGTTTTATGGCTCCTCTTATGGTCTATCATGGTGAATGTACCATGTGCACTTTAGAAGAATATGTTTTTTGCAGATGTATAGTGTTCTATAAATGTCAATTAAATCAGGGTGGTTGATAGTGTCAGTCAGATCCTCTGTGTACTGATTTTTTGTTTAGTGGTTCTATCAACTGCCGAGAGGCAGAGTTGTTAAAATCGCCAGTTGTTATTGTGGATTTGTCTGCTTCTCCATTCAGTTCTGCCAATTTGTGCTTCATGTATTTTGAATCTGTTATTAATACATTTATGTATGTTACATTTTCCTGAGGAATGGCCCTTGAATCATTGTGAAATGTCCTTTTTTATTATTGGTAGCACTCTGTCTTGATATCTGCTTATTTGAAATTAATACAAACATGTCAGCTTTCTTATGCTTATGGTTTTCCATCTTTTAGTTTCATCCTATTTGTGTCTTATATTTAAAGTTTGTGTTTTTTTAAGACAACATGTACTTGGGTCTTGAATTTTTATCTGTTATAATAATATCTGCCTCTTAACTGGACTGTTTAGTTCACTGGCATTTAAAGTAATTATTGGTGCGGTTGGATTTAAGTCTACCATTCTACTGTTTGTTTTCTGTTTGTCTCATCTGTTTTTTGTTCTTCTGTCTTCCATTCCTGCCTTTTCTTGGGTTAATCCTTTTTAGAATTTCATTTTAATTTTTCTGTTGGCTTTTTAACTGTTCTTTTTTGTAGTATTTTATTTCTTAAAGGTTGTTTTGGTGTCACAATATGCATCCTTAATTTTTTCCATTATTCTTAAAGTTAATAGTGTATTATCTTATGTAAAATGTAAGAACCTGAAATCATATAGGTCTGTTTCCCCTTTTTTATGCAATAGTTGTCATATTATATAATATCTACATACGCTATAAACTCTGTAATACAGTGTTCTGTCTCTTTGTTTAAACAGTCATATATATTATGGAAGTTGAGGGAAAAATAGTCTTTTATATTTATCCAGCTATTTGCCGAGTCTGCAGTTCTTTCTTTCCTTGAAGACTGAGCTTTCCACTTGGCGGTATCATTTCCCGTCACCTGCAGAAAGAATTTCCTTTAGCCCAGGGCTCAGCAAACCATAGCAGCTCATAGGCCAAATCTGGCCCACCACCTGTGTTTGTAAATAAAGCTTTATTGGAACAGTGCTATGCTCATTTGTTTTATATATTTTGTATGGCTGCTTTTGCACTATAATGGCAGAATTGAATAGCTGTGACAAAACCTCAAAGCCTAAAATATTTACTATTTGGCCCTTTTTTAGAAAAAGTTTGTCAAACCCTGCTTTAGCATATCTTCTACTTCATGTCTGCTAGTGACCAATTATCTTAGTTTTCAGTATCTATAAAGTTTTATTTTACTTTTATTCTTTTCTTTTAATTGAGATATAATTGATATTTAACATTATATTAATTTCAGATGTGCAACATAATGGTTTGATATTTGTATATATTGTGAAATGATCATCACAGTAAGTCTAGTTAATTAATGTCCATCCCCATAAATAGTTACAAATTTTTTTTTCTTGTGATGGGAACTTTTAAGATTTACTCTTATAGCAACTTTCAAATATACAATACAGTGTTATTAACTATAGTCACCATGCTGTACATTACATCCCAGGACTTATTTGTTTTACAACTGGAAGTTTGTACCTTTTGACCATCTTCAACCATTTTGCCCACTCCCCACCCACTGCCTCTGGCAACCTCCAATCTGTTCTCTGTATTTATGAGGGGTTTTTTTATTAATTTTTTTTTAGGTCCCACATATGGGTGAGATCATATGGTATTTGTCTTTCTCTGTCTGACTTATTTCACTTGGTGTAATACCCTCAAGGTCCATCCATGTTGTTGCAAATGGCAAGATTTCCTTATTTTTTATGGCTAAATAATATTCCATTGTGTGTGTGGGTATCCCATTTTCTTTATCCATTCTTTTCTTGGTGGACAATTAGATTGTTTTCACGTCTTGGCTATTGCGAATAAGGCTGCAGTAATCACAGGAGTGCAGATATCACTTCAGTATCCTGTTTTCATTTCCTTTGGATAAATACCCAGAAATGGAATTACTAGATCATATGGTAGGTCTATTTTTAATTTTTTGAGGAAACTCCATATTGTTTTCCATAGTGGCTGCACCAGTTTACATTCCACCAACAGTGTACAAGTGTTCCCTTTTCTCCACAACCTCACTTATCTTTGTTTTTTGATAATAGCCATCCTAGCAAGTGTGAGGTCATATTTCATTGTGGTTTTGATTTGCATGTCCCTGATGATTAGTGATGTTGAGCATATTTTCATGTACCTGTTGGCCATTTGTATGTCGTCTTTGAAAAAATATCCATTCTGATCCTCTGCCCATTTTTTAATGTTTGTTTTTTTGTTATTAAGTTGTATGAGTTCTTTATATATTTTGGATATTAACTCCTTGTCAGATATATGGTTTACAAATATTTTCTCCCGTTCCATAGGATGCCTTTTCATTTTGTTTATTGTTTCTTTTGTTGTGCCGAAGTGTTTTAGTTTGATGTAGCTCGACTTGTTGATTTTTGCTTTCGTTGCCTGTGCTTTTGGTGTCATATCCAAAATATCGTTGTCAAGACCAATAGCAAGGAGCTTTTTCCTTTTCTTCTAGGAGTTTGACAGTTTCAGGTCTTTTGAGTCTTTAATCCATTTTGAGTTAATTTATTGAATGATGTAAGATAGGAGTCTAATTTCATTTTTGTGCACGTGGTTATTCAGTTTTCCTAATGCCATTTATTGAAGAGACTTTTCCTTATTGAGTATTCTTGGCTCCCTTGTCAAATATTAGTTGATCGTATACGTGGGGGTTTATGTTTGGGCTCTATTCTGTTCCATTGGACTGTGTATCTATTTTATGCCAGGACCACACTGTTTTGATTACTGATAGCTTTGTAGTTCAGTTTGAAATCAGGAAGTGTGATGTCTCCAGCTTTGTTCTTCTTTCTCAAGATTGCTTCGGCTATTCTTTTGTGGTTCCATACAAATTTTAAGATTGTTTTTTCTATTTCTGTGAAAAATGGTATTGGAATTTTGATAAAGATTGATCTCATTAATTTCCATATGCTAAGCTAAATCTCCTTCTGCATTTATTCAGCATAATTATTAGGAGTATAACTTGCTTGCAAAAATAAATAAAAAATCTCAAATTTTGGTACAGTTGATTTGGAGTTAATTCTTATTACAGGATTTTTTCTGGGGTGGGAAATTGATAACTTGACGAAGGTAGTTTTCTTGAGAGCTTGTTTGTTCTTGTCTCTAGACCTGAGCAGGGTCCTTGCTCAGAACTATTGGTTAATTTAATGAAAAGTTTATCTTTATAAATACTTAGATTCTTTTGCTGTTTTCATAAGTACTCTTAAGAATAGAAAAATCGGGAATTTGCCTGAAGGTCAGAAAATTGTTCTGATAATTGTTATTGCTGTCCTTTGTGCACTTATAGGTTGATTGGAGGGGAAAAAAGGTGACTGACTGGAAACTAGAGAGAGAGTTGAAGCAGTGTTCTTTCTTAGTATCCCAAGTGCTCTAGGTGGCTGGCGCATGGAGACTTCACTGTGGTGTGCTCATGAGCAGGGCTGTGAGAAAGGATTGTGATGTATTTAATTGTAAACACGTTCAGTATTTTGAGGCTTGTCTGGGTCAATAATTTTAAATGTTTAGTAAGCCAGTAGGTAAGAAGGAATCAGAAGTATGCTTCTGAAATGGGACAGATGCTCAGGAAAGAAGTAAGGATTTGCGATACAGTCATCCACTTCATGGTGATAGTTACCCTGAGAATAACAGGAGGAGAGAGAGTGTAAAAGGAAGTGCAGAGGTCTGAGAACATCACCGAACAAATTATGTAGTTTCTCATTATATGTTTGTCTAATCCAGAACTTTTTAGAAAAATCAACTGAAAGAGAAACTCGCCAAGAGTATGCTCTGGCTATGATTCAGTGCAAAGTTCTGAAACAGTTGGAGAACTTGGAACAGCAGAAATACGATGATGAAGATATCAGTGAAGATATAAAATTTCTTTTGGAAAAACTTGGTGAGAGTGTCCAGGATCTTAGGTATGTTATTCTTTTTAGTTCTCACACGGTGGATACATTGGGCTTTGTTTGATTTGCCTAGTATTTTAAGGAAATCTAAATCTCTTACTAACTATAAACTCAGAAGATTTCACTAAAACATTATGTCTTCTATTAAAAATTGGAGAATATGGAAAAACTGGCTCATCACCATAGCAACAGTTGGTCAGAGCTGTGTGTTATCTCTTCTCATTTGGAGAGATTCCTGCCGTTCTCTGTGTCTAAGACCTGCCTGGCTGTCCTCCCACAGGACATTGGTGCCACCCTGGAACCCCTTCAGAGTCTCCTCCTGGTTTAGAATCTTTTTTAAGCAGCAGTGGTTTTTAATTTGTGGAGGAAGTTTGCCCATATATGGGAAGAGAATTTTTTTCCTGCTTTTTTGTAGTTCTATTGTATTATTTATTTTTTATATTAAAAATTAAGCAAATGGTATACACGTGGTAAAGGAAAAAAAAACCCCTTACACAGTACAGAAGGAACTCCATGTCACTTCCCCCATTTTCCCTAGTCTCACCCCTGTCTGGTTTCTTGTGTTTTCTTCCAAAAAAGCCTCCTAATCCCCCTCCCCCAGGTGCATGTGCGTACGTGCGTGTGCACTCGCATGCGCACACACACGGTCCTACATATTTTTCTGGACACACACACGCAGGGTCCTACGCATTTTTCTGGACCTTGTTCTTTTTTGTTTAATAATATCTTGATGATCTTCCCCATTGACTCATGTATTGTTTGTTTTTAAACTACTGATACATTTTTAAAAGAGAGTTACTCTAGAAATAGATTGTTCTCTGTAGGTAGATTGGATTTGAGAGCGCGACTGACTGCACTTTGGATTGTTTGGCTACTTTCTCCACATGTGGCCTTGAATAAGCTTATTGATACTTTAAAGTCTCAGTTTTCTTTTTGGTAAAATACTAATAAAAATTCTAACCTTGTAGGATTTGTTGTGAGGTTTTAAGTGTCCAGCCAAGTGCCTTTAGGATGTGTTCCAGAAATGTATTTAGCAGATAATTGAGCGCAGCCCGTAATCCCAAAGCCCAAAAGCTTTTATAGAGATGGGGGTATCACCCACATCGGTGGTTTGTAATGGAGTTTCGTGGAGGGAGGCAAATGATTTTTGTCTTTCTATAATTTCAAATATGAATAAGTTGATTGTAATAATAGGCCAGCAGTAGGCTTGCAGTTTTTATAAATTCTATTTAAAAAAATATCTTTAATTCTTCTGCAATAATGGTTTAAGACCCTTTATGAAAATAAATAAGATTAGTGATAATTAGCTTTCCAAAGCATTTAATCCATGTTAGCCAATTATTATTACTTACTGAGTTTTCATGTTGAATTTGGTAATTTGAAAAATATTGCTATTTACATAAAGCTGATAGGGCGATGGGTGCAGTTGAAAGAGATTTGTCTCTTTTTCTGCTGTTCAGCTTCACAATGTTAATGTTAAATGATACATGTTTACTTCTTATACTAACTGGTCTTACGTTAAAATAAATTACTCTTGATTCAGCAGGACACTCTGATCGACTTAACCAGTAACTCCTGGTTATACTAAATTATTGATCAGTATTAAATGGCTACTTGTTTTTTAGATTTTTGGTTGAAAGAAAGTCCAAGCATGTCCTGTCACTGTGTTTTCCACTGGCTAATTACATTAAAATTTAAAAATATGAGGCTTTGACTAATTAAATTACTTGATACATAGTGAATCATTTTTGAATTAAAGTGCATTACATTTTGTTACATGTACAGAGGTTTTTGTTTTTAATTAATCTATAATAAATTAATTCAATTAATAAATTACATTGTTGGTAATCATATTTTAAAATATTGTACCAATATGTGTGTTTTTGTTTTTGTAATGCAGTATCATAGTTTATGACATTTATATAGTATCATAGTATTAGAATATACTATTTTATTTTATGTTAAAATATTATAGGTTTTCATAAACTTACATTAATGTATCTAGTGGTCTGGCAAATATGATATTTTAAGTGGCGTGGTAGAAACTCTGCTTAGATTGTCAGATATTTTCTTGATATACATTTATGTATATATTAGGGTAAAGATTTTGAAAGCAAGTGCCCCTTTTAATATTTCGTGACGAGCATTCAGATTTTACAGACGTATTGGACTTTAGAACCTGAATAAATTTCACATGGTTTATTAAATATTTAAGCTTTTTTTTGTTTTTGTTTTTTTTTTTGTTTTTTTTTTTTATAATTTTTATTTATTTATTTTTCCCCCAAAGCCCCAGTAGATAGTTGTATGTCATAGCTGCACATCCTTCTAGTTGCTGTATGTGGGACGCGGCCCCAGCATGGCCGGAGAAGCGGTGTGTCGGTACGTGCTGGGATCCGAACCCAGGTCGCCAGTAGCCGAGTGCGCGCACTTAACCGCTAAGCCACGGGGCCGGCTCTAAATATTTAAGCTTTTTACACTGTGTTTAGTGGTAGTTTGTTAATCTGTAATGGATGGTCAGTCTTTGTAGTTAAATCATCAGTGAAGATGTTTTATTTTGCTTAATTTTGGAGTATCTCAGATTCTTATAAACTTTGAAATTCTTTAAAAATTTTTATAGCTCTTTTGATGAATACAGTTCAGAACTTAAATCTGGAAGATTGGAATGGAGTCCTGTGCACAAATCTGAGAAGTTTTGGAGAGAAAATGCTGTGAGGTTAAATGAGAAGAATTATGAGCTCTTGAAGTAAGTTTTCAGTTCCAGTTTACACCCTAATACCCTTGTTCCACTTCCTCACGAACACATTTTGTCACTCTTTTTAAAATTTTAGGTATTCTATAGTTTTAATTTGTATTTTCTTGGTCACTAATGTGGTTGAACACCTTTTCTTGTGCTTATTGGCCATTTGGATATCTTTTTTTTCCCAGGAGAAATGCCTGTTCAAGTATTTTTTTATTTTATTTTATAAGAGTTCTATATGTATTTTGAACATGAATTCTTTGTCATATATATTCATCACAGCTATTTTCTCCTACTCTGTCACATGCCTTTTTACTCTTTAATTTCAACATAGCTCAGTTTATTAATCTTTTCCTTTGTGGCTAGTGCTTTTTTTGTGTCCTAGTTAAGAAGTTTTTGCCTACCCAAGGTGATATTTCTATGTTATCTGCTAGAACCTTTATTGTTTAGCATCTTGCAGTTAGGTCTCCATTCCATCTGGAATTGGTTTTTGGGTAAGGTATAAAGTAGGAGTCAGGTTCATTTTTTTCATTACATGGATATCTAATTGAACCAGCACCCTTTGTTGAAAGTAACACTTTCCCTACTGCTTTCCAGAGTTCGTTTTGTCATAATAGGATGACCAAATATGTGCAAGTGTCTGTCTTTTTTATTGAGATATAAATCACATACCACACAATTCACCCATTTAAAGTGTACAAATCACTGGTTTTTAGTAGATTCACAAACGTGTAACCATCAACACAGTCAATTTTAGAACATTTTCATCACTTCAGAAAGAAATCCTGTATCCTTTAGCTATCACTTCTCTATCCACTCACCCACCCGGCCCTAAGCAACCACTAATTTGCTTTCTGTCTCTGTGGGTTTGCTTATTATGAAAATTTCATATAAATGTAATCATATAGTATTTGTCCTTTCATGACTGGCTTCTTTCATTTACCATAATGTGTTCAAGTTTCGTTCATGTTGTAGCATTTATCAGTTCTTTATTCCTTTTTATGGTTGAATAATATTCCATTATATTGATATGTTGCATTTTATTTATCCACTCGTCAGTTGATGGACATTTGAGTTATTATGAAAAATGCCAGTAATGAACAGTCACGTACAAGTTCTTGTGTGAACGTATGTTTTTATTTCTCTTGCTTGGGTAGATACTTAGGAGTAGAATTGTTGAATCATATGGTGACTCCATGTTTAACTATTTGAGGAACTGCTAGATTGTTTTTCAAAGTGGCTATACAATTTTATAATCCCATCAACAGTGTATAAGGGTTCTGATTTCTCCACATCCTTGTCAACACTTGGTATTGTCTGGCTTTTTGATTCTAGCCATCTTATGAGTGTGAAGTGCTATCTCATTGTGGTTTTGGTTTTTATTTCCTTGATGGCTAATGATGTCAAGTATCTTTTCATGTGCTTATTGGCCATTTTATGTATTTTTTGGAGAAATGTCTGTTCAGATTCTTGGTTCATTTTTTAATTGGATTGTCTTTTTATTATATAGTTGTGAGAGTTCTTTATATATTTTGGATACAAGTCTCTGATCAAATATATGATTTGCAAATATTATCTCCCGTTTTTTGGGTTATCTTCTCACTTTCTTGATAATGTCCTTTGAAGCACAAACATTTTAAAATTTTGTTGAAGTCCAATTTATTTTTTCTTTGGTTCCTCATGCTTTTGGTGTCATACCTAAGAATCCACTGCCAAAACTTAAGGTTGTGAAGATTTACTCCTGTGTGTTCTGTAGTATTTTTATAGTTTTAGCATTAGGTCTTTGATCCATTTTGAGTTAATTTTTTATATGATGTGAGGTAAGGGTCCACCTTTATTCTTTTGCATGTGGCTATCCAGTTGTCCCAGTAACATTTGTTGAAAAGACTGTTCTTTCCCCATTGAATAGTCTTGGCATTCTTATTGAAAATCAATTACTATGAACACATGGGTTTATTTCTGGACCTTTAGTTCTGTTCTATTGGTCTATATGACTGTCCTGATACCAGTGCCACGCTGTCTTGATTACTGTTGCTTTATAGTATGTTTTGAAATCCAGAAGCATGAGTCTTCCATTTTCTTTTTGTTTTGAGTGGATCTTAATTTATTTAATCAGTCCCTTAATGATAGATATTTAATATTGTTGCCAGATTTTGCTGTTACAAACAGTGCAAGAATTACTGTATATACACCTTACTGTAACTTTTAAAATTAATAAACTTTAATTTTTAGAATAATTTTTAGAATAATTTTAGTTATACAGAAAAATTGAGGGGAAAGTACAGCGAGTTCTCATATACCCTCTCTTCCCCTACTAGGCACAGCTTTCCCTATTTTTAACATCTTTCATTACTGTGGTACATTTGTTACAATTGATGAACCAATATTTATACATTATTTTTAACTGAAGTCCATAGTTTACATTAGGGTTGATGCTTTCTGTTGTACAGTTCATTCTGTGTTATACATTCTGTGGGTTTTGACAAATGCATAATATCATGTATCTCCCATTACAGTATCATACAGTTTGACTGCCCTAAAAATTCCCTATGTTCCACCTCTTCATTTCTCCCTTCTTCCCTCTTTCTCTGAGCCCCTGGCAACCATTGATCTTTTTACTATCTCTATAGTTTTCCCTTTTCCAGAATGTCATATAGTTGGAATCAAACAGTATGTAACCTTTCAGACTGGTTTCTTTCCCTTAACAAGATACATTTAGGGTTCCTCCATGTTTTTTGGTGCCTTGATAGCTCAGTTCTTTTTATTGCTGAATATTCCATTGTATGGCTGTACCATAATTTGTTATCCATTGAAGGACATTTTGGTTGCTTCAAAGTTTTGGCAATTATGAATAAAGTTGCTGTAAACATCTGTGTACAGGATTTTGTGTGGACATAAGTATTCAGCTCATTTGGGTAAATACCAAGGGAGCATGGTTGCTGGATTGTATGGTAAGACTATGTTTAGTTTTATAAGAAACTGCCAAACTGTTTTCCAAAGTGACAGTACTGTTTTGCATTCCCACTGGTGATGAATGAGAGTGCCTGTTGCTCTACCTCCTTGTTAGCACTTGGTATTGTCAGTGTTCAGGATTTTGGCCATTCTAATAGGTGTGTAGTGGTATCTCACTGTCATATTAATTTGCAATTCCCTGATGACATATGATGTTGATCATCTTTTCATATGCTTATTTGCCATCTTGTCTGTCTTCTTTGATGAGGTATCTCGTCAGGTCTTTTAACCATTTTTAAATTTAGTTGTTTGTTTTATTATTGTTGAGTTTTAAGAGTGCTTTGTATGTTTTGGATAGAAGTCCTTTATCAGATATGTGCTTTGCAAATATTTTCTCTCCATCACTGGGCTTGTCTTTTCATTCCCTTCACAGTGTCTCACAGAGCAGAATTTTTTAATCTTAATGATGTCCAGCTTATCAGTGTTTTCTTTCATGGATTGTGCCATGTTGTTGTATCTAAAAAGTCATTGCCATACCCAAGGTTGCCTAGATTTTCTCCTGTTATTTTCTAGAAATTTTATAGTTTTGTCTTTTTCATTTAGAGCTATGATTTATTTTGAATTTATTTTTGTGAAGGATGTAAAGTTTGTATCTACATTTACTTTTTTGCATGTGGATATGCAGTTATTCCAGCACCATTTGTTGAAAAGACTTTGCTCCGTTCTATGGCTTTTGCTCCTTCATCAAAGATTCATTGACTGTATTTGTGTTGTCTGTTTCTGGGCTCTCTATTCTGTTCCATTGATCTATTTGGCTATTCTTTGACCAGTACCATACTATGTTAATTACTGTAGCTTTATAGTAAATCTTGAAGTCATGTAGTGTCAGTTCTCTGACTTTGTTCTTCTCCAGTGTTGTTTGTTCAGATCTTTTGTTTCTCCATATAAACTTTAGAATCAGCTTGTCGATATCCACAAAATAACTTGCTGAGATTTTGGTTGAGATTGCATTGAATCTGTAGATCAGGTTGAGAAGAACTGACATCTTGACAGTATTGAGTCTTTCTATTCATGAACATGGAATCTCTCTCCATTTATTTAGTTCTGCTTTGATTTCTTTCATCAGAGTTCTGTAGTTTTCTTTATATAGATCTTGTATATATTTTGCTAGATTTATACCTAAGTATTTCATTTTTTGGGGGGTGCTAAGTAAATGGTATTATGTTCTGAATTTCAAATTCAGTTTGTTCATTGCTGGTATATGGGAAAGTGATTGATTTTTGTATATTAACCATGTATCCTGCAACCTTGTTATAATTGCTTATTAATTCAAGGAGTTTTTAAATTTATTTTTTTGAATTTCTCCTTAGACCATGGTGTCATCTGCAAATAAAGACAGTTTTATTTTTTTCTTCCCAATCCATATGCCTTTTATTTCCTTATCTTGTCATATTGCATCAGCGAGTACTTCTAGTATGATGTTGAAAAGGAGTGGTGAAGGGAAATTCTTGCCTTGTTTCTGATCTTATCAGGAAAGCTTCTAATTTCTCACCATTAAATATGATGTTAGCTGTAGGTTTTTTGTAAATGTTCTTTGTCAAGTTAAGTTTCATCTGTTCTTAGTTTGCAGAGAATTTTTGTCGTTAATGGGTGTTGAATTTTGTTGAATGATTTTTCTGCATCTATTGATAAGATTGTGTGATTTTCATTCTTGGCTTGTTGATGTGATGAGTTACATTCATATATTCTCACATGTTGAGCTGGCTTTGCATACCTGGAATAAATCTGACTTGGTCATGGTACATAATTCTTTTTATATATTGTTAGATTTGATTTGCTAATATTTTGTTTTCATCTATGTTCATGAGAGACATTGTCTGTAATTTTCCTTTTTTGTGATGTCTTTGTTTGATTTTGTGTTACAGTAATGCTGGCTTGATAGAATGAGTTAGGAAGTGTTCCCCTGCTTCGATTTTATGGAAGAAATTGTAGAGAATTGATATCATTTCCTCCTTAAATGTTTGGTAGAATTTGCTAATGAAACCATCTGGCCC